CTGCTGGGGGGCTGGCTCGGTACTGGGGCCCTCTGCGGAGAGGAGAAGGTGGTGGGCTCTGGTACTCCTTGCCCTGGCTGCCCACGGGAGGAGGGCTGAAGCGGTACGTGGAGCCCTGGTGGGCCGGGGACGTGTGCGGAGGGCTGGGCCTGTAATGGGAGTTCTGGTGCGTCGGAGACAGAGCGGGAGACGTGGACTGGTAGCCCTGCCTGGTCGGTGAACCCACAGAGCTGTTGGACCTGAAATCGAAGACCTGATGAGTGCCGAGAGGTGAGCCAGAGATATAGGCTGAGTCCCGGTGAGCTGGGGACGGGGGTGGGCTCTGGATGATGGGCAGCCCTTGGTTGGGCCTGGACTCTGTCTGCAAGCCGATGGAAACGTTCTCTACGTCCTGCTCCAGGTACTCCTCCTCGAAGATGTCCTGCACAGAGTAGAGCTCTTCGTGCTGGGCCTCAGGCTCTGGCTCTGCCGGGAGCGGCGGCGGCGGCTGCTGGACCTGCCTGCACTCCTCCTCCACCCGCAGCAGCAGCCGCTGGATCTCACGGTTGTTGGGACACAGCTTGATGGCCTCGTTCAGGTCCTCCAGGGCTGCTGAGAACTGCCTGCTTGACAGAGGGACAGAAACCAGAACTGGAGCCACTCTGCATTTCAACGGAGCCGTTTTCACAGGCTCCAGAGGGGAAAGTGGATTGTCTGTTATTGAGGGATGTGTCTGTGCTTGCTACTGCTCTACCGTAGGTGCCTCCCATGGATTTACTTTATTGAAATGGGAGGAAAATTCTGTGGAAAAGGGGAACACAGCCCTGGGATGGCTCAACCCAGAGTGGCTAACAGGCCTGTCCTCTGCTGAGTGCATCACAGGCTAATTAATGACTATCCCCCAGCAGCACCGTGAGCCAAGGGGACACCAACACATCAACCACCACGAGCTCAGCTCAGCACTGCTGTAAACAAGCTCTGATGGAGCTGCAGCCACTTAGGCCAGGGAAGATTTAACTTCTGCCTGATGCCAAGACCACACAGCGTCAGGGCTGGCTCCAGAGCCCGGGGGCTCCCACGGGTCAGTGCTCTGGGCAAGCCTTGTCTCTCCAGTTTTGCACTGGATTTGGCTAACTCCTTTGGAATGAAGGAGCCGAGCGATGTGCCGGGGGCTGTGAGCTACCCAGGGAAGGCTTTGAGAGGGAAAGGCCAGTCTGGGAGGAGGAGCAGGGAGGGGGGGGATTGGGAAGGGGGGTGTAATTTCCATTCAGGAACCACCGAACGAGGGAGGGTGTTACTTTGGAGCTTGAGAAGTTTGTTATCTCATCAGTGAACATTTCTTGGTCATTTCTCCCCATGGGGACACTGCTGGGCTTTGCATGGTGTGTGCCCATGCCAGTGTGGCCACTCTCACAGAGACCTCACACCTTTCTCCCTGTCCCTCCTCACCTGCTGCTGCGTTTGGCCCTTGCTCTTGCATAGTAAGCTTCGTAAGACTTCGGTTTCAGCTCCAGGGCTTTAGTGGCAAACTCCTCTGCCATCCCAAAATCCTGTCATTACAACAAACATGCAGGTAAGTGACTGAGCAGACAGAGAAACAAAAAGCTATGCAGCCTGGGGAGAAAACAAACTTTTCTGTTTTGTGTTTTGACATGTTTGGGGCATGGATGGGGTTTTTTTGCACATAGCATGGAAAAACCTGATGGTACTGGAGATGTTTCACATGGATTCAACAGCATTTACAACCAGAGCTACATCCAAAAAGCCTCAGCCCTGTGGTAACACTGGTTGATGCCATCACCCACAGAAGCCACCGTGCCCCTGCCTCAGTTCTCAGGGATTGTGACACCAACAAGTGCAGTCAATCCCTCCTCCAACAACCTACAGTCCTGAAGAAACATCTGGTCTTGCAGAGACTGGAATGTTATCTCGTGAAAGGTTTTTTTTCCATAGTTGAAAGCAACAGAAAACCTTTCCCACGCCCTCAGCTTCCCTCTCTGCAGCACATGGACACTCTGTGAGGGGCTGAGGAAAACTGCCCATGAGGGGCAGGACTGGGATATCTCAATGGCTACAAACAGGCCCTGCCTGGCAAAGGTTTCCTAATCCCACTGTTCCTCACCTCTCCCCTACACCTCACCTGGGAGCTTGTTTGGGAGTGGGGAGAGGGTGACAGTGTGGAATGGGATTTCTCCAGGTGCTTTCCAGTGGCAGTGCCATGAGATCAGACTATCAGTTCTGGTTCAAACCCTGCTGCTGTCCTCTCCTGCCTTCTCCCAAATGCTTCACGTCCCAGTAAGCTCAGCTCTTGTGAAGGAGAAAATTCTTCCCAGTGGAGAGGATAAACACTGCTTTGGATTGCTGAGCTGGGCTGTGACCTGAGCAGTTCTGGGAGAAAGGACTGAACAGTGCTGCTCCTGATTTGTTCAAAACCTTGGGAAGCTCTTGCTACCAGGATGCTCTGCCTGGGGAAGCTCACACTTCTGTCTGTGCTTCCAGCAGCATCCAACTGAGGAGATATTGTCCAACACACTACACTGAGAAACAGTTTGAGTCAGATACCCTTATGGTCTCTTCTTCAAGTACAGAAACTGCAGGAACAATCACAACCCTCTGAAACTTCCCATCCCAACCCCTGGAATCAACACTAAACCAAAAACCTTGTCCTCAAAGCACAGGACAAGAGCTGGAGTTCCTTAGCTGTGACTTGGCTGGTTTCAAGAGAAGGTTCACACTTCTTCTCCAAACTCTGTTTGCTCACCAGCATTAAGATTTCACTCCCATTGCTTTCCACCTTTCTTCCTCATAGCTTAAAGAAACAAAGGTGTCACAAAACCCTTTTGCTGGCTCATGGCCTCGGCAGAGATGTCACTTCTTGAGTTTTTGGGGATTTGAAGCTGTGGAGGTGAAAGCCTCTGCACACTGAGCCAGGGGAGGTGGCACTTTGCTGGTGGAAGAGGCATCTGCAGAGGCTGGTGGCTGGATGCTGCCAGGTTGGGATGGGAGAGTGACAGGGATCTGGCAGTTCTAGGAGGAGAGGGAGTCTGTGGGGGTGTTTCTGCATGAGTCACTGCCCTGGGGAAGTGCTAGCCCCCTAAGCATATGCTCCCTCATTTGAAATCCATTAGTATTCAAAGGAGCACATCTCCTGGCTCCTCCTCACTGCTGCCCTAGAAATCTGGAAAATGCCTCCACCCCCATGTGATGATGTGAACATCATCATCAAAAGGGAGTAATAAAATATTCAAGGAGCTATAAACATAGCAATGAATTTTTAATCCTCAGAAACGCATAGGAAATCATTACTGCTTTGGAATTCTAAAATGCCAGTGAGGGAAGGACAACCAGGTGACACTGAGGGAAGAGCTGAGAGGTCAGAGCATGGTCAGGGGTGGATCTTGTCTCTGTAGGGGCAGAAAGTTGGCAGGTTGGGCTCGGGGCCACAGGGAGAGGGGAGACTTACGTTCATTTTCCTTCGACATCGGGAGAGGTTGAGAAGCAGTGACACCTTCAGCTCACGGAAGGTTTTCAGGTCTTCTCCAAACCCTTCCCTGGGGAATTTTTTCAGGGCATACTGGTAGCGCTGGGCAGCCTCTTTCACTTTACCTTTCTATTAGAAAAAAAACATGTCAAAACACAACCCTGGGTTGAGTTGAGCTCCCTGCAGAGAACTCACTCACCAGCCCTCCCAGTGATGAAGGAAACACAACTTCACTGTTTAGCTCTTTGCTAGAAAGGAAAGGCAGAACATTGGATCAAGGGAAGATCTGAGCTGGAAAGGCAGATGCCTCGTGCGAGTTGAGATCTCCCACTTGGTGCAGAGCTGTCACACAACCGCGGGAAACACGGCAGAAGTGGTGTGAGCTCGATACAACTCCATCTGCTCCCTGGCTGGATGGTCTTTTGAGCTGGGTGATCAGTCACCCATTCCTGGAGAACACCCTCCACCCAAAGCTTAGCACACACCAGAGAGAGCAAAGAACAGCAAGTTTGGGACATTGGATGGAGCTCTTGGGGCTCAGAGAAGCCTCTGCAACAGCAAAGATACACGTTACGGCACCAACGCAGCTCTGAACTTGGACAAACAGGTTGGGATTCATCTCCTTGTACTTTAGATGCCTCAAAATCAGTGTCTACACCTAAGTCTGTTATCTGGGTTCCCTTTGTAATTATCGGGACGCAACAGTCACCTTCAAAGTTGACTCATCTTTGCTATTTTGGGCACCTCATTTATGGAAGGGACAGTGTGTGCCCTGAAGGAGAGCAACCACCCAGCCAGGGGGAAAGAAAGAGGGCAGGATGGGATCTAGGACACATGCAGCTCTTGATGACCCAGACATAAATTCTGCAGCCACAAAGAGTGAGCTTTAAAAACTTGTAGACTCAGGTTCCTCAGCTGTATCATGTATCTCTGGCAGATAACTCCTGTTACAATGCCAGCTCTGCATATTTTCTGCTTCACCCTGAGAGCCTCACAGTGAATCATTGTTGTACTTGCACATTTTCTGTGTGTGTGCAAATCTCCAGGTTTTTAAAGATCAGCTTCAAATAAACACAGAGCAAAAGGGACTCTCTGACTGGAACAGTGGAACATCTCCCATGGGTTACAGGCCAGCACAAAGCCAGCTGTGTCCTGACGATCTGTTTTCATGGCAAAAAGTTGCTTCCAGGAGTTTTTCTGGGATATCCTATCCCAGTGCCTTGTTCCCCAGCAGTGAGCCCATTAGGTAATGACCTAGTAATGCCAGATCTGATGCAATGGCAGCAGCACTCCCAACCAACACTTGGGTCACAGTGTTTTCAAAGGGGAAATGAAGTGCTGGCTCAAGTCCAGAGAGACTTGGCTTTGCTTCAGCTTCATTACAGATTTGGGCAATGAATCCCTCCTTCTCCAGCCCCACTAACCAAAACCAAACAGTTTGGAACACAAGGAATGCTGCAAGCAGGAGCTTGTACTTGCCATGGGTTAAGGCAGCAGCATCAGAATCACAGAACCATTTAGGCTGGAGAAGACCTCTAAGGTCATCAAGCCCAACCATCAACCTAACACAGCCAAAACCTCCCAGCAAGTGATGCTGCAAGCTGCATCCATTCCATTTTCCCAAACCCACTCTCTTATAAACTCTCACCTTATAAAACATGTCTCCCTCCTCCATCAGCTTGCTCAACAGGATGATCATGATGTCTGGTTTGGAGGTTGCCATCGCCCATGTTGCTGGACCTGTAGTGTACAGGATGCATGATGGGTAAAGAACTCATACAATGCAAGGGTGGTAGGAAGCTGGGTGGAAAAAATACCCTGGGGTGGGAATTTCTGCTGGAGAGAACAACTTGGCATGGTCAAAGGGCAGAGCGCTCCAAATGATGGAGCTGACAATTCCTCTGGCACTTAATGGCATCATCCCCATTGCAATTGGTTTTTCCTTTGCACTCGTTAAGGCTAATCCCAACGGTTTGGGAAAGGATGGAGCCGATTCCACAAGAGGGCAGTGCTGAATGTGGAACGGGCTTGGGATGGGGGAAACCAACCGAGTTGGAAAGGAGGAATCAAGAGTGGTTACGTAAGAGCATCTCTAAATTAAAGCCTCTGGAAGTGTTCTAGGGGGAGTCTGCAGTTCGACTGTGGAGAGGTGGCTGGTGTTTAAGTGGATTGTGATTTCCAGCTTCACGAGATGTGAAAGGCTAGAGCAGAAAATCCATTCAGTTGGAAAATCTGACAAAGGAGAGGTCGTGTCTAAGTGCTGCTGGTGCTGAGGGTGTCGCTGGGCTGGGGGGACACACTGGCTCTGCACAGCCTGCAGGGCCAGTTATTCCCTCCAGGACTACTACTGGGAGGGAAGGGGTGGCAAAAATTTGGGGACAACTCATTAGTGAGGGTGAAGAATAAGTCACCGATACTCTATAAGTAGATTGAGTCCGTTTCGGGGGAAGGAGGTTAGTTTTTGAGTTCAAGTTATTCTCTGCAACAGTCATTAAAAAAATTACTTGAAGGTGAGGTAAATTAAAAGATTAGAGGTGTCGGGGACGCATGCAGGCTAAATCAAACAGGAGAAAGCAAGGCTGACAAAGCTATCAGATCGAAGCTGATGCTGACAGCAATGAGATATACCTCGTGGGCGACTCGGTAACGTCTGACAACCTTCAAAGAAAGGAGAAAACAAAAAGTTGTAGGAGAGAGGGGGGAAAAAAATGGATGAAGGTGTGAAAAAAAAAAAAAACAAAAAAAAAAAAGAAAGGAAAAAAAAAAAAAGCAGCTGTGAGAGGCAGGCAGCAAGGAAGCCAATGCACCAGCAAAATCCCCTTTCACAGGAAAACGTAACGTGAGCAGCTGTGTGGAGCAGTGCAGGTACACTGAGGTCTGGAAGCACACACAGAGCAAGTGAACGCAGCAGCTCACAGCAAGGCATGGGCAGAGTACACTGGTCGACTCAGACTAGTAAAGATAGGAAAAGCATTACCAGAGGAAAGACCTTGCCAAAGAAACAGTGGTTTATTGATTAACTTTCGCTAAGGAACATGACAGTCAAAAAGAAAATTCCAAAAACTCCCCATTTTTACTCATGAGAACCAACCAGGCAGAAGTGACTCTCCGGCTGCTTTCGGAGTGTGAAGCAGCTGCTGGGGCTGAGGTGCCTCTGGGGGAGACTGGTGGTTTTTAGGCTGCCAGCCCCACTGCTCGAGGCCTGCCTGAGCACAGAGGAGGTGGCAGTGTCCCCTTGTCCCTACCTATCTTGGCTCCTTTCTTCAGCAGGGTGACGACCACCGAGGTGTTGCGGCAGCCCACCGCCCTGTCCAGCGGCCGCATCCCGCTGTAGTCAACGTGCTCGATCATGGCCCCGTGGTCCACCAGGAACTGAACCTGCAGGGAGAGACAAAGCACTCACTTCTGCTCCTGCAGGAACAGAAAAAGCTTCTTCTGCTCCACTGACTGGGCTAAAACCACCTCCACGGCATCTGGGGGGACATTGTGGGCAGCAGGTTGAGGGAGGAGATTCTGATGCTCTGCTCTGCTCTGGTGAGACCTCACTATAGTATTGAGTCCTTCCAGCACAGGGAGGTCATGGACTTGTGGGAGCAAGTCCAGAGGAGGCTATGGAGATGCTCTGAAGGCTGGAGCTCCTCTGCTATGGAGGTTGGCTGAGAGTTGTGGTAGTTCAGCCGGGAGAAGAGAAAGCTCCAGAGAGACCTTAGAGCCCCTTCCAATGCCTAAAGATGCTCCAAGAGCTGGAGAGGGACTTTGGACAAGGGTTTGGAGTGACAGGACAAGGGGGAACAGCTTTAAATTGAAAAAGAGTAGGTTTAGATTGGATACTGGGCAGGAATTTCTCCCTGTGAGGTGCTGAGGCTCTGGCACAGGTTGCCCAGAGAAGCTGTGGCTGCTCCATCATCCCTGGGAGTGTTCCAGGCCAGGTTGGATGGGGTTTGGAGCCACCTGGGCTGGTGAGAGGTGTCCCTGCCCATGGCATGGGGTGGGACTGGATGAGCATTAACTTCCTCCAACCCAAACCATTCTGAGATTCTATGACCTCTGTGGAAGCAGCTGCACGAACGGAGAACCTGAACTCTGTGTGCTTATTGCTACACCCAACCAAACTGTCCAACTTCAAGGCTTTTCCACCACCTGCCCATGTTCTCCTGAGGGTACCCCAGGCCACTCACCACCTCTGCGTCGCCGTAGAACGCGGCCAGGTCCAGCGGCGTGCGCCCGTTCTTATCCGCGTGGTCCGTGGCAGCTCCACTCTCCACCAGGGAACGCACCACGGGCAGGTGGCCCTTGAGGCAAGCCCAGCTGAGGGCTGTCAAGCCCTCCTTGTCCATCAGGGCAATGGAGGCACCTGGAAGAACAAGCCCCAGTTCACTTCAGAGCTCTGTGTCGCCGAGCGCTGCGATCCCACGAACTCGGCGGCGATGGTTTGTTTGCAGAGTGCTCTGGACACAACTATTAACCCCTTAGCTAACATTTCTCCCACCACAGATCCCACCCCAGATCCCACCCTCCCTGACAACTTCAAACACACTGATGGAAACTGTGGCAAACGAGCTGATTCACACCAAGCTGCAAACTTTTTTGCACCTAGGTCTGTGGGCTTTCCTGGCAAACCTCAGAGCTGCAGGGTGGATCTGACATCCCTCATCTGAGGCATCAATCTTTCTTTTTGAGCTGTTTTGGTTTGATCAAACCCCATTCCAGCCTGTGTGAGTCAGAGATGAAGACCATTTTGCTGTTTCAGCAGGTCACTACAGGGAATGGAGTCAACTCAGCTCAGCTCTCCTAAAAAAAGCAAAGATTTTCCCCTCTTCACTCCCCTCCCCTTCACCCAATCCGACACAATTTCCAGCAGTATTTCTCCCTGAACTTTACCCAGGATAAATACAACGCTGGGGGATAAACTACTGCCAACTGCAAGCCAAGGAGAGAGGGACTTGACATTTTCTTGGACGAGGAAATGGTGCTGCCATACCAACGGGTCAGTATTGCTCCACACAGCATATGGAGAGGGATGTGAGAGCTGAGCAGCAGCTCTGAGTGAACACTCCTCTTCATGGCATGGAGACAACTCCTGTTGCCATGGCACAGGTTGGGCTCTGGCTCTGGCTCCATATCAGTTCTGCTCCCCTGAGGAGCTGCAGCTCCCTGTGGGATGCTCCTGCCAGCAGCTGGGATCAACTGCTGCTGCTGTGGTTTTCTCCTGGAGGTAAACTCTAAACTTCCCAGCATGAGATCTTCCCTGGCTCCACAACACTCAGCGATGTGAATTTCCTGAACATTCCCCTTCATCCCATCCCCTGGTTCTCACACATTGCCTGACTGAGGGCACACAGAGAGGTGACCCTGCTGGCACAGTGTTGTTTGTGGAGGAGCAGAACACAGGAATGTTTGCTCAGAAATCTCTGCCCAGAGCTCTCAGCACAGCCTTGTGCCCCTGAGGGAGGTGACAAATGGTGTCTGGGACACTCTGCAGTGCCAAGGAGGGACACAGGCTGCATGGCAGCTCAGATGTACAGGCTAAGGGGTGACAACAGAATCATTTAGGTTGGAAAAGACCTTTCAGCTCACTGAATCCGACTGCTCCCCTAGCACAGCCAAGGCCACCACTAACCATGTCCCTAAGTGCCACATCCACACATCTAAATCCCTCCAGGGATGGTGACTCCTCCACTGCCTCCTCTCACATTGCCCAAACTGCACCCAGAGGCTGCTCTGAAGCTCTGGGAAAGCCTCTCCAGATGATCCTCAACTGACTTGAGGCCAAGTTTTGCTCAGCAGAGCAGGATAAATCTTCCTTTCATTATTGCTTATTTGAACCAGCTACTTTCTTACAATCAACATCAAAGTATTCTGCTGTGTTTTCCCTCTGACTCTCCTGGAGCAGGTGAGAAAGCTCCTGCAGTAGGAGTGAAGCCACAAGATCACTCAACCTTCCCACTCATTTCCCAGTCCAGTGGAAGAGACACTCCATAGCACAGGGTGACAGCACAGACTCCAGGGCATCCCTCAGCAGTTCCAGCTGAAGGTCTGAGTGAGGAGACAGCACACTCTGCCTCAGGAGTGCCAAGAGGCTGCTCCAAGGCAGCTCCATGGAAGCACCAAGCTCTAGAGGCAGCTCTGGCCCCCAGCAGAGCCTCTGAAGACATCCTTCATCCTTCAGGGATCTCTGACCCATTTAGCATTCAGACAGACAGGAAACAAATGGATGGTTTTGAGGGCAAGAGGCTTAAGGTGATCTCCTGGGATTGATCTCTGCTGCTGTGGGAAGGATTTTGTCTGGGTAAACCCACTTTGCTTCTGGGAAGGGTTGGGCAGCTCCTTCCCAAAAAAAGGTTTCTCATGGAATGGTTGAATTTGGAAGAGACCGTAAAGATCATCTTGTCCAACTCCCTGCCCTGGCTAGGGACACCTTCCACCACCCCAGATTGCTCCAACCCATCTAACCTGGCCTGGAACACTTCAGGGATGGAGCAGCCACAGCTTCCCTGGGCAACCTGTGCCAGAGCCTCACCCTGATGACAAAAAAAAATCTTCTTTACATCTAGTCTGATGATTTAATTCTCCAGCAGGCACAACATCGAGGCAGTGTGGGGGCAAAAAAAAGAGACTGACACTTGGAGCATCCAAAAGTTGCAGGATGTGGGATCTGTTCTGCACAGAGGATGCACCCAAAGCTGCAGTGCCTGGTCAGGGTGACCCCCAAGGGATGAGGTAGCAAACCCATCAAGGGATTGATGAGGAACATGAGACTCACAGTCAAGCTCTCCTCAAACAGAACCAGCACCAGGAATTATTTTGCTTTTTGTCCCATGGATCCATATAAATCTCAGCTTTAGCAGAGCTGCTACCAGGGAAGTTTAATTCCCTGTTCACACACCCATTATTTCTGAGTGTTAAGCTGCAGGTAACTCCAAAAATTTGGGTTTCAAATTGATTGATGACTGCAACTCTGCTAATAAAACGTGTTTACAAACGCTGAGCGTGTTCATCAAGTACAGTCAAATGAGATTTGCTTTGCAACACACTAATTAATGCTTATGGCTCATGATTCACACACTTTGATTTTAATGAAACATTGAGCAGGATTGTCAAAGCCATTTTAATTAAAACACACCATGTATCAGTGCACTCTGCCCAGGCTTGGGCTAACTCTTCAGGACCATGTGTTGAGTAAGTTTATGAAGCTACTTAGAGGAAAAGGCCATTCCAAAGTAAGATCCTCCTATTTTTGTCTCCAGTCTAAAGAGCCAAGGAAACATTAGATGCATTTACTGCTTATCCCACAGCCAAGAGCAGAGATCTGATATTTTCATCCTCCTCTGAAGGAGTCTGAAGCAACATGCACAGTTCTCAAGTGTGGCAAAAAAAAAAATAAAATCCCTTATTTTAAGCCTTTTAACACAGATTCAGTCAAGCTGTGAAAGGGGCCACGTTTCAGCTCAGAGATGGAGGGTGTTAATTTGAGATTTAAAAATAACACAAGAGGAGAAAAGAATTAATTGAATCCATTTCCTAAGAAGCTCAAAGTGATCTTTGTTACATCCCTGTGCAGGCCACAGCCCTGAACTGCAAGGATCCCACTGGCTGTGGCTCAGGACAGACACACAATGGGAGACTTGGCAATGTGACAGTGAAAAATTGTTCTTACAACTGCTAGATAAAATATTCAGGAGTCTCACTTTGTGGCTAAGAGGGCAGACATGAGATGAAGAGAAAATATCCCTTCTCAAAGAGGGATCTTACCTGGAATAAAATACCAAATAACAACACAAGAATTAAATGCTATTTCTAGGAAAAAAAAAGAATTGAAATATTACCCAACCAAACCGAACAAACCTTGGAAACTTATCCAAAAGGAAAGGAAGTCTCTAAGGAACTCCAGCTGATGGTGTTCCCAGGGCTGCAGGCACTGAGTTGTTCTGACTCACCTCAACTCAAGGAGGTACAGCAGCAATGAGCAAAACTGCACCATGTTCCTGTTGGCTGAGTAACTCCTCGTGAGGAGAGTTCTCAGGCACTGACAGGACTGTGGGAGCTGTGGGTGCAGAGCTGCAGGATATCTTCCACACAATCCTGGGTTATTTTCAGCAAACACACCAACCCTTGCCTGTGTCAGGGCCTTACCCTCCTGCTGCTGCTGGTGTCAAAAACGTGGGAACGACGCTAAGGCTAAAAATGGAAGTGTTAAGATATGTCCCCAGCTCTGGTCTGTGCTTGAGCCTTGGTGCCACAGCCATACTGGAGGTTCAGCTGCACTGTGTGTTCATTTTCTGTCTAAGGGGAAAGCTCCCAGAGTGGTTCACATGTTCTTCACTCAATGCTCAAAGCATCTGTGATGTCCTTTCATTTTCTACCTCAGTGTTGAGGCTGTGAGCACCAAACAGACAACACAAAACAGCCAAGATTAAGGCTAGGATTATTCCAGCCTTGTTCTCCAATGAGTTGGACATGGTGCTCTCCCACCAGTGGGATGACAATTCCCACTCTGATGTTACAAACTCCAGCAGTGCAGGAGCTGCTGTGGAGGGTCTGCAACACTTCCCAACATGTGTTCTAACCTTGTGCCAGCAGAAACTCCACCGTGCCCAGGTGTCCCTCGGACGCAGCCATCATCAGTGGTGTCCTGCCCTGCTTGTCTGCCATGTTGACATCAGCTCCATGCGTGAGCAGGAGGTCCACGATCTGCAACACACAAGGCCACGACACACGTTGGATGTGGAAGAGCAGAGAGGACTCCACGTCTTAAAAACTCACCCCACCCAAGGTGTGGTGTCCCATGGGATTGCTGCTGGGAGATTAGGGATTAGGAGAAGGACTGGAGGAATAAGGACAGGAAAAATGACCTTCTAAGTAAAGAGCATCTCATTTGCTTCCCAAATGGTGAGATAACAGAGAAGTGGTAGATGCCTCATCCCTGGAAAAATCCAAGGCCAAGTTGAATAGGGCTTGGAGCAACCTGGTCTAGTGGAAGGTGTCACACTGCAGGGGGTTGAACTTAGATGGTCTTCAAGATCCCTTCCAACCCAACCCATTCCATCATTCTATGACAACACAGGGCTTAAGCAAAGCTGTCTCTGGCCAACAAGAGCTTGGGGTGACTGAAGCATCGACGTCACTCCCCAAAAGACCTGAGACTTGTCCTCTCCACTCATACTTCAGCAAGATGCAAGGGAAGCCCTACCCCAACACTCAGTCATGCCATGGCACGAGGCCCCCACTCACCTGCCAGTGGCCCTGCCTGACGGCGC